GGCAGCCTGAACTGCAAAGGGAGACTGCATCAAAAAACAAGAAAGAGGAAGGGAGGAAGGGAGGGAGGAGAACAGAGAAGGGGAGAAAGAGAGGGAGAAAGGAAGGAAGGAAGGAAGGAAGAGAGAAAGGAGAGAAAGAAAACAGCATGAGAGAGGGAGAGGGAGAGAGGGAGAGAGGGACAGAGGGAGAGACAGGCACACACAGAGGAAGGGAAGGAGAGGGAGGGAGGGGAAGGGGAAGGGAGGAAGGAAAAGGAAAAGGCAAGATAAGACAAAACAGAAGAGCCAGCCGACTGCGTCATGTGATTTCCTGGTTTCCCAATGCTTACATGCATGCCTTTAGCCAACAGTGCGGAACGTGTAGGTGTAGTTCCACAGATGATGGCAGTATTCAGCCTATCACATCACAAAACTGTATCAAGAAAAGTAATTTTCAGAGATTCTCAGACCCATCTACTCCATACTATTCTACATTGCATCAAGGTGGAACATGAGAAGACTGTATACTTGGACCATATCAGCTTGTTGTTTCTTTATCTTAGGCCAACTAAATTGTTTTTCAAAGAATTTAGTTTAGGAAAAATTGGTTCATATTAGTTTATGGGATCCTTAAGAGTTATACACTTTGGGCTAGGGATTTAGCTCAGTGGTGCTGCACCTGCCTGGCAAGTACAAGATTCTGAATTTGATCCACGACACCAAAAAAAAAAAAAAAAAAAGAGTTATATATTTTATTACTCTGAAAAACCACACAATTACAATGATCCTTGATCAGTGCTCCAACACTTCAGTTCTTGTATTTTTTTTATTAAATCTTCATTTGAGAAATGCATAGTGTAGTTATGTCTCAATAAAGATTGTGTTACTAATGAGTACTTCAGATAATACTGCCAATGTCACAGTTTCAGTTAAAAGTTTAAAAAGTTGGGGCTCAGTGGTGCTGTACCTGCATCGCGGGTGCAAGGTCCAGAGTTGAGCCCCAGTACCCCCCAAAAAAAGTTTAAAAAGTTGTATCTGGACAAAACATGGAACAAAATGGAAAATTTTATTAAATAATATTTTAAAAATTCTTATTACATGTAAAATTATTTGATAATCCTCGATCATGGCACAGTAGCAAAGAAATGCAATCATTGAGCACCACATACTCAATCCTGTATGTGGAGTGAATGTGCAGACTACATTTACATAAAACTGCAACTGGACATTCAAAAGAAAATGTCATGAAATTCCTGCTTAATGTTGTAAACTATAAATTCTCTTTGTAACTATACAAGGTGTGCTCAACAATATGGTGAATGAAAAATTTTATTATAGTAAAAGACATACTGCCATTAATCTCACTCAAAACACTTCCCTGCACTTTGATTACAAATTATCGTGCCACTTTTTTTTTGGTATCTGGGATCAAACTCAGGACCTTGTGATTGCAAAACAGGCATAGCGCCACTGAGCTAAATTCCTGGCCCTATAGTGTTACTTTCTAAAGCAGTTCTTAAAGTCCTTTTTCATGTCTTTAGTTGTGTTCTCATGGCTGCCTTAGTATCCTAAACAATTAAAAATGTTTACCTTTCATAGTCATTTTTACCCTGGGGAAGAATCAGGAATCATATGGTGCCAAATCCAATAAATAAGGGGAACGAGGACACATTGGAATGTTTGTAAGAGCCCACCTTTTCGCTGGATGACACTATGCAGCAGCATTCACCACATTTTCATCGTACCTTATTAAAGACACTCAAGAAAGAAAACTTCCAGAACTCCTTCAAAAAGTGGCAACAGTCATGAAATAGCATAACGGAAGTTGAGAGGGAGCATTTTAAGGGAGATTAATGGCAATGTCTTTTTCTGTGATATCTTTTTTCACTTAAATATTTGCCATATATTTTGATCACACTGCATACATTTCTAAAGCTATAGTTGTTTAAATACAGTATGATACTGACAAAATCCACTCCAGTATTTTATGAAGGGAGAAGCAATTCTTTTTTAATTTATTTTTTCCACTACTGGGAATCAGACTCAGGACCTTGCATTTGCAAGACAGGTGCAGTGCCTCTGAGCTAAACCCCTGGCCCAGCAATGCTTTAAATAATAGATCACCTAAGAAAGTGGCCATGATTCCATTTTATCTAATATAGCCCATATTCAATTTCTCTAGTTGTATTAAAAATGTTTAGCATTAAAAAGCACACGCCTGTAATCCCAGCACTTGGGAGGCTGAGGCAGGAGGATCGCTGTGAGTTCGAGACCAGCCTGGCCTACATAATGAGTTCCAGGTCAGTCTCAACTACATAGTGAGACCCGGTCTCAAAAAAACAACAAAAAAAAGATATATACTATCTGTCTATAAAACTTCAGGACCTAATCAAGGTGCAAACATTGAATTTCATTATATGTCTCTTCAGTCTCCTTTAATTTTGTATATGGTCCAACCACTATTTCATCTTTTATCATAAAGATATTATTTATAAACCCAGACAGATGTCTTATAGCATGTACACATTTTGGATCTGTCAGATCTGTACTTCATGATTAGACAGGAATACTATAATGTAAAGTTGTGTGTCTCCCACTGAGTAACTTTTCAAGGCACATGTCCATTATGATCCCCTAACTTGAGGGTATGACTGCCAATCTCTCCACTGTAAAAGTATATTGCTCTTCTTTGCAATTAACAAATAATTGATGAGATAATACTGTGAGACCATGTGTATCTTGTTGATTTACCTTTCACTCAATGGTCTTAACATCCAACATTTTTGCTTGAGTTAATTAACAGTACTAACTAGCAATTTCATAACTCTGTCATTCTGTGTTTTAACTGCTATTCCTATGTAAATAACCTCTCACCCCTCTTCACCTCTTTGTATGGGAACATTTTTTTTTAAATGTTAAAGTATCATTATGAACTTAAAAGTTCTCTTTCAATCACTGTTTTACAATCCACTACTATCATTATTCTTGTGGATGTTAAAATTGTCCCATATTTTCTTGTAGGAATCCAGCAAGCAAGTCCTTGCATCTATCTGACATGTCTTCATCAGACAGATTGCACTTATTTCTAATTTAACAAAATGTTCCAGAGTATTTCTGCCTCACAGCCTGGAATTAGGAATTTCTAAGGAGCACTGGGTCCCTTTAGTGGGAAACACTATTTGTAAATCAAAACCTGGACTCCTAATATATTCATCTTTACTGTAGCACAATGACATCTAAGCCCTTTTGATGGACTAACACAGCAGAGAACATTTTTTAAAACCTGAGTTCATATTAATACCTCTATTTAAAATTTTTGTTTGTTTGTTTGTTTTGGTTTTTTGATACAGGGTCTCACTGTATAGTTGAGACTGATCTGGAACTCACTATGTAGCCCAGGCTGGTCTCGAACTCACATCGATCCTCCTGCCTCATCCTCCCGAGTGCTGGGATTACAGCGTGCGCCACCATGCACGGCTTCTACTTAAAATTTAATGCCACAGTGCATCTCCCAATTTTGCCCCATTCCTTACTTGTATCTCCTAAGAACCCTGCTTCTCCAAATCCAATATAATTTCTCATTAACTCTACTGAATATTACATATAAATATTCAGGATTACTACTCAAGTATCACTACAAACAACAACTCTGCTAAGAATGATTAAAGATCTTTTTTTTGTGAGTGTGTTGGTTGGTTAGTTGTTTTAGGTATTTCTGACCCTGAGAATATTTCTGTGTGTATAGTCAGACTATCCATAATACGGTTAAAGCTACATGAGATTTTTGGTAATTATGTCATGAACTTGTTAGCTTCATTTGTTTCTACTTCTACTTACTTCCAGGGTTTTACTTTTTATCATTTTTTTACTTAGTTTTGTTAGGTGAATATATGAAATATTTACATAGTTAGAGTCACAACCACATGTATAAAATACATCCTGGAAGACCCTGTCATCCCTTTCCTCTCTGTGGTACTCACCTCCTTCTTATAGTGACTATTTCACTGGTCTTTGCTTAATCCTTCCTATGTTTCTTGTTTGCAAAATTAAGATACATGTTTTTAATTTTTTTTTCTTACAAAGAGGTACCATGCCTGTACCTTCTGTATCTGGAAATCATCTCATATTGGTTCATTAAAATATTTCTTATTCTTTTTAATATTATATTCAAACAGTCTCTGCACAGATATTTATTTTTACAATATTCTGCTATTACTTATAATTTTACAATGAAAAATATCAGCATATGTTCTTTTGTATTTGAACGGGTGATTCATGAGGGTAAATGCCTAGAATCTGAGGTAGTAGTAGGTCCAAGAGTTATGCAGATATAATTTTGTTAGACATTCCAAAAACTCTCAAAAATCATAACATCTCACATTTCCATCTGTAATGTCTGAGGGTAACTATTGCCTCACAGGCTTGTCAATTAAATATGTTCTAAACTTTTGAACATCTGTGTATTTTTTGTTTTATTTTGTTTGGGTAGTGGGGATTGAACTTGGGCCCTTGGCACCTGAAAGGCAGGCAGCAGAACCACTGAGCCAAATTCCCAGACTGTCTCCATGTATTTTAATAAGCATTATCAATTATGTTGAGCATCTTTTCATATAATGTAGTATATAATGTATTTTTAATGAATTATCTATGCCTTTTGCTCATTTAAAATTATAATTTAAAAATTTTCAGTGGAAAAAATAACCCACAAAAATACTTTAACATTTTGCCTTAAAAAATAAATAATAATACATAAAAATAATTCTACAATGTGTGAATCAACTATTATATCACTTAAAACTACACAGTCATTCTACATGATATTCCAATAGCCTAGTAAGAATTATGTAGAATGAGATGAATGTTAAAAGAGAAATGATGCCAACCAATGTTGTAAACAATTAATTCCACAAACAAGCAAGCCAGTGGGGGAAGGTCAGAGCTTGGGAAACACGGCTAAGCATAATTTTCTTGTAATGGTTTCATTACACCCACCTCACAAGTACAGGTAATCCTCCGAGGATGAGGGGCTTCCTGTTGCAGCTGATACACTGGGAGAAGGCAGAAAAAAAAGATGTCAATCTCCTTTATGTAGAACTTACGAATATATTATGAATATCAAACTGGCTACATTTTATGCTCATAAGAAAAATGGTTCACTTCATGTTATTGAAACAAAATTTGTTGTAAACAAAACAAAGTAAACTAAACAATGCAAGTATAGGAGCAAACACAGGAAGAAAAATCGTAACCCCCACACTAATGACTTTCTACCTTACAACAAACTCATGCTGGTTATTAGGTTTACTTTTCATAATCTGGTCATTTCTCCTACTTTGTTGGGGATGTATTAAAGCATGTCTCTAATATAAACAATAACAGTTTCATATCTATATCTATATATTTTTCATTTGGTACTTGAGATCAAATCCAGACCCTTGCACTTGCGAGGCAGGTGGCAGAAACCACTGAGCTAAATACCCAGCCCCCATATCTACAAATATTTTAAAGTGCATTATTAAGTGCCAAAATTGAAACTGAAATTAGGATTTATAGGCTTGAAGCAACAACACATATTTTGTTTTTCTCCTAATTTATACTATGTAAGTTTACCTTCAAATATGATCTCCCCCTAAAAACAAATTTTATGAGGCAAAGATATTATCAGTTAATCCACCAGAGAAATATTGCAAAAGAAAGAACCAGATATTGAAAAAACTTCCTAAGATAAATTTTTAGAGTATCTAGAAATAGAGTGATGCTCACTCACTTCAGCAGCACATATACTAAAACTGGAAATAGCGTTGTAAAAATTATATTGATATCTTGATCTCCTTTCATTTTTAAGTAAAAAGGTTGAAATAAGAATGAATAGAATATGTGGTCATTGGAGAAAATATGTCTAAGTATATTTAACTCTCAAAGAGTTTTTTTCTAGTTCTAAATATATAATCAGTGATGCTCACTCACTTCAGCAGCACATATACTAAAACTGGAAATAGCGTTGTAAAAATTATATTGATATCTTGATCTCCTTTCATTTTTAAGTAAAAAGGTTGAAATAAGAATGAATAGAATATGTGGTCATTGGAGAAAATATGTCTAAGTATATTTAACTCTCAAAGAGTTTTTTTCTAGTTCTAAATATATAATCACAAGCCCTCATAAATTATTTAAGTTAATACTGTAAATACTTTGTCAACATAGTATCAAACTACTCAGGCATTTGGAACTGTCATATACTGGGACTCATTCCAACCGGATATAAGATAGGCTCCATCTATGACCATATTGTTTCATATTTGTCATGGGAACATATATAAATATATACAATTAAACTATATCTATATCTATACACACACACAGTCTATATACTGAGAACACACACAAACACATCACTCACTGTTCTGTATCACTATGCAAATGGAATACCATTCCACTATGGTTATAATTTGAATTGTTAAACTACCTGGAGTGTGAGCAATATGGTTATGCCACTAATACTGCATACTGTGCCTCAGTTTTTGTTATTTGTAAATGGAGTAATAGTTTCTACTTCACAAATAACTATATGGATTAAATAACTTCTTATATCTAAAGGTTTAAATACTATTCAGCACATAGTAAAAGCTCAATAAAGAGTAGCTATTATTATATGTAGCTGACTGAAATTATTTAAAATTTCTTTTTTATAATAGTATCTGACTACCAGGATGCAGTCTGAACATCAAGTTACTAGAGAAAGTAAAATGGTGATTGTGATTCAAAGCACAGATAGTGTATTATCCATTTATCATTAAGACATAACATCAGAGTAATTTAGTATATGTGCTGCCAAAGTGAGTACTGAATCAGAGTAATTTAAAAGGAACTAAGAAGATACAGCTATACTGTTTAAAAATTGAAAAACAACCTAGATGTGGTGACAAATGCCTGTAATCCCAGCTTTAAAAGGCTAAAGATTGCCAGGTGTGGTGGTGCACGCCTATAATCCCAGCGCTCGGGAGGCTGAGGCAGGAGAATTGCTGTGAGTTTGAGACCAGCCTGGGCTATATAGTGAGTTCCAGGTCAGTCTCAATTAAATAGAGAGACCCTGTCTCAAAAAAATTAAAAAATTTAAAAAAGGCTGAAGATCACTCCAAGTTCAAGACTAGTCTGGACAACAGCCCAAGTCTTTGTCTCAATAAACAAATTAAACAAGCATTTCATCAGTAAGGTTTGAAATATGTTATAATACGTTAAGGACAGTTTCAAACACTTGTATTTCATTGTGAGAGTTAGTATACTAAAACCTCTTCTGAGAGTGTAGTTTCAGAGATTAAAGAGGGCTGGAAGCATAGCTTAAGGGGAGAGTGGTTGCCTGGCATCTACAAGGCCTTGGGTTCAATCTCTAGTAAAACGACCACCAAAAACAAAACAAAACAAAACAAAACAGGCAAATAAATAAAGACAACAGGAGATGAAAGAGCAATTCGAGATGTGGGGAATGAACCCTGAAGGCAAATATGTCTGGCCCTGATAGCAACAGTGCATAATATCTGCAAACCTCCATTCTCCTCAAGAGAAGACAAAATGTGATTCATAAGAAAGGAGGATTCTTTATGTCCATTCCTTCATATCAGGAACAGTACAGTGAAAATTCAGTTCTCATGTCTGCTCGTTTTAGTGTAATTCATTTCAAAAGATTACTTTTTTTGTCAATAAAATGATCTGAAAAGTACTGTCTCCTATAAATATTATGAAATTGGGTGAGTCAAAAGAATATCAAAAGTTACTAGAGAAAGTAAAATGTTGATTGTGGTTTAAAGCACAAATAGTGTAGTATCCAGATATCATTGTTAAGAATTCACCCATTCACAGAGCAACCATTAAACCAGTATGAAAAAAGCAGTGACATTGTCACGTGAGAACTGCTTCAGTTATCAGTCTGTTTTTATCAGTTTCAAAGGTATAGATTTTTGTTTTTTCTAACATTAAGTCACATAAGGTTATTTACTTTTCAATTTCTTTAAGTCCTTCTAGTTGTAAAAAAGGATATAGTTCTGTGTCTTGGAGACATTTTAGACAAGCCTCCTCATTTGCTATCAATGATTAACTGATCTTTAAGATTCATTTTCAATAAATAATGGAAGCCTCTGGATATTCTGTAACAAAATATAGCAAATTTGGATTCAGGAAGCATTTATCGAAAGGATCACTAAAAATTACACACAGTAGTTGGGGATTTGGCTCAGTGGTTCTGCTGCCTACCTCACAAGTGCAAAGGCCTGAGTTCAATTCCCAGTACAAAAAACAAAAAACAAATACACAAAGTAGTACGGTCTAATTAATTCAAGCAGTTCTCCCTTAGTTTGAATTTTTGATAATCTGAATTAGAATTTAGCTCAATTTAAATTGGGACAATCATTAAATGATTTCTCAAAATTTAATAGCTAAATTAAAGATGAGAGAATATGATTATAGCACCTAACATTTTAATCTCCTTCGAAGTGTCAATGTTTATATGCTTTTTAATGAAATTCTCAGTCTCTAGAGACAATATATTATTATTTAAATTCAGAGATCACAAATTGATATCTTAGAGTCAAAAATGGTTCCCATGTGTTTGCCCGCTTTTTAAATTTCAGTTATTTTAATTTCAGTTTTTTTAATGTTTAAACATCAAGAGTCTTAACAACAAAAACAAAAGAAAATTCCAGCTTCTCTTTAAAACTCAAAAAATGTTTGCCGGTCTTTTTTTTTTTTTTTTTTTTTTTTTTTTTTGTACTGGGGATCAAACTTGGGACTTTGAGCTTGCCAGGCAGCTGGTGGCACCACTAAGCTAAATCCCTGGCCCTATGTGAGAATTTTTAAATAACTAAATTTAGGTCCCATCAAAGAAAAAAAAAATGCTGAATGCATGCATTATAGTTTGTCAGTCCAAAAATTTTGGGTAGACTTTACTATTATCAACTGTAGCCAAATAAATGTATATAGGTCTGGCCTTTAAATAAAATGATTGATTGAAAGTACTGGGCAAGGCCAACTACCTCAATTATTTAAAATATCAGTGTCTATTGAGAAAATCAAGGTTTAACAAACTTGTCAGTTTTAAAGATTTTTTAAACTACCATGCAAAGACTGAAGAGATGAACTCAAATTAGATTATAGCCAGCTGTAAAACTGACAATGAGAAAGACAAATCTTTCCACAGTTTAACTTTTTTTTTTTCTTTCTTGGTACTGAGGATCAAATTCAGGACCTTACACGTGCGAGGCAAGCAAGGCAAGTGTGGTGCCACTAAGCTAAATCCCCAGCCTTCCACAGTTTAATTATTAATGTCCTTGAATCAGAAGCTTTTCATTTGATAGTCAGAAGATAATCATCTAACAATTCCTTCCCTGTTTATACGTTTTAAATGATGATGGCAAGTCCAGGGTATTGAAGACATTAAGAGAAAAATAAAATTCAGTAAAGGAACTGTCACCAAAAAAAGATATATACCTTTTTTTTTTTTTTGGTTTTTTTTTGAGAGAGGGTCTCACTATGTAGTTGAGACTGACCTGGAACTCACTATGCACCCAGGCTGGTCTCGAACTCACGGCGATCCTCCTGCCTCAGACTCCTGAGTGCTAGGATTACAGGCGTGCACCACCATGCCCAGCTAGATATATACCATTTTTAAAAACAAATGGCAGCTACTGCAAGACACGAAAATAGAATTGCATATACCACATGTACTAATAAATATTCCTTAGGAAGAAAATAAAATCACCATAAATTCAGTAACCTCAGATGCTGTAAATATTCTTATGCTAAAAACGTGCAGGGCATAAGTCTGAAATAAGCAGTCAAAGATAAAGAAATTTAAAAAGAATTTTAAAGGAGTTTCTAGCCAAAGAGATTATGAGACAAAAATCTACAGGAGATAAAGAACATTAGTCATTTCTACATATCCTTAAGAACTTTACTCCCCAGAGGAAAAAAAAAAAAGGTACAGCAGGGAGGGAAACTGCCTATGGATATATTTTTTTAGTTTATACATACTTCACTTATTATAATTATCCTGCACTGGCAATCTATGAAAATAAAAACTACCTGTTGTTACATGAACATAAACCAATGAGAACCCAAATTACAGTAATTCTCCTTTAGCCAGCAGATTTTACCAACTTATATATATCAAAATTCAGGAAACTGAAGCAGGAAGATTATGAGTTCAAGGCCAACCTGAACTACACAGTGATACCCCTGTTTTAAAAAAACATTTTTAAAGAATAACTTAATTTTTACAAAAACATTAATAATCTGCATTTAAAGAACAGATTTCTGAAAAAATGAAAAAATGGAAATAAAGTGTTCATAAATGGAGAGGGGAGGAGGAGGTGAAGAGAGGGAAGGGACAAGGGGAAAAAAATGAGACCCCAGACCTGTCATGTAAAGGTACAAGATCCCAATAATGAAGGTAACCGTACTGTATACCTAAAATGTACCAATAAACTCTATTAAAAAAAAAAGAACAGGTTTCACAGGTAGCTCATTCACCTAACTATATATAGTATTGTTTGTACAACAGTGCGTTCATAGTTTATTTAAAATGACTTTGATTATATTAACACTATTTCTATTCTTAAAACATCAAGAATATATTTTATTTGATAAAATAATATTCTCTTGGAAACAGGGAGAGAAAATAAAAAAACTAAGGATGCAGACTCTTTTGAAGAAATTTATTCTAAAGCAAAGTTTAGAGAGCAAATACAGAAATCAAATATTCCTCTTTCTCCACCACAATAAAAATCCTCTTTTATTTTGATAAAGCAGCTGTTTAAAAAGATGACTTTCCTTTTGCCTCTTTTCACCTATTCTTTCTACTAAGATAGCCTTACCATGATATTCCTTTTGTCACATAAAGTGTTAACATCAGAACAGTTACATTGCTTGAATTTGCAGCTTTCCCTTGCATTGTTTTATCAGCCATTCTAAACACGTGAGCTCAAGTTCCACTACCTGGAATCCTGGGAGCTAAGAGGGGATGAGTCCCACTACGTACACGCAAACTACGTACAGACTTTGTGGAAACACTCTTTTCACCATAATTGTTTATTTTATGCTATTCCCAAACTTTGTTTTGAATTAAATTTTTCAACAGTGGGTACAAATGTAATGAATCTTTATAAGGAATAATCCTAATATTTTTATATCACTTATAAAACACAATTCCTCACACAATTAAATTTATTTGTATACTTACAGTAGGATTTCCAAACAGGAGGTCTATATTCATCTGTATCTGAAAGAACAAACATACTAATATTACTGAATATATTTTAAGCACGCTGTTTTAATCTTTAGTATTTACTGGTGGAGTTCCATTTGTCCTAGGAATTGTGCTAGCAATTAAAAGGTTTTTAAATCTTGGTTCTTACTTTCTTATTTTTTGTACCAGGGATTAAACTCCAGACCTTGCGCTTGTGAGGCAGGAAGGGGTACCACAGAGCGAAATCTCCAGCCCGGGTTCTTACTTTCTTATAGTTTTATGAAACTATTCAAAGGAAGTTCACTATATTTATTCAACTGCTTATCATAAAAATTATGATTAATGTTTGCTGCTGGAACTCATTTCTTACAACCACTGAAGTAACAGTCAATAAAGTCACTGTTTGAGTTTAACAATTATTTCACCAATGATCCCTGAAACCACTGATTTTTCAACCAAACTGACCAGATAATTTTATTCTCCAAAAATACTGAGTAGTTCTCTGTTGGTACTCATTACATTTGGGGGATTCCCATGTAGTTTTACTAAAACAAAGAGAGGAGAGCAGCACCGCACAGATCTAGTCCTCAGGCATCCTGGACAATCAAACCCAGGAAATGAGAAACACTTCATGGTAGTGTCTCCAGGGAACCACAAAGAACAGGAGGCAAACATCTCTTCAAGCCCATTTCCCTCCCCTGCTTAAAGTGCAGATAGAGGAGACAGTTTGAAGAAGCAGTGGAAAGAGATGGAAGACAAACACTGGAGGGAGATGGAGTAATCACAGTAAGGGAAGGAAATCACAGCTGAGGGATCATTTTGGCAGCTAAAAGCATGTTTTTGGCATGGAAAGCTCAGCCAGCCACATCACCTGGCTCTGTAGGCATCTAAAATGAACAATTGGAAAACCTAGTCCTACAAATCTTGGCCCAAGGAGGCAAGAAAAATACAAGGTTTCCTGAGAAGGTGAATATGAACCTCAAGGAAAATGATCACCAGATCAAAACACTCAACCCTCCATTCCCAAGCATTAAAATGCAACCTAACACTTCATTTATGATGCATTACCTATTACAAACTATAAAACACTGAGTCAGATAAACACAGCAAAACACTAATAAAAGGCATAAGAAAATAAAAAGTCTGCTTAAAGAATTTAAAAAACATGAATAAATGAATAATACAGCAAATACAGTTGCTTCTCATTATCACTAACATCAAATTTAAGAACAAATACAGAACCACTACTCTTATGGGAAACAGATTCCTGTGCCTCAGGTCACGGCACTTTCATTAATTAGTACCTAACCTTGCTTTTGTGTGTTTCTCTTATTCAGTATATACTGTTGATTCATTAAGATCTAACTCACAGCCAGCAACACTGTAACTCTTGCTAGTAAGTTTATCTAACACAGTAAGTTTATCTGCACTTCAGGACAACAACTTGCAGACAAAACTGCAACATTCTGCTTCAGGGAAATTTAAACAGCAAAATCACTACTACCACCACCACCAAATAGCCATAAAAATACAAAAAACACAGATAACAATAACAACATAAAACAATGGCACTAAATAGGTAAAAAAAGGACACTTTAGAGAGCTGAAAGGACAAGCTAGAGTTTGACCATAGCTGGGTACAGACAGGTCATATGTCTCAAAATTTTTACTGCACTGTGAATATTTATAAACCTAAAAAATGCCACCAGTATTTGTTTCAGGGTTACAAATAAATTTTAGTGAGTAGGCAAATTTAAAAGTACGTAATCTAGGAATAATGAAGATTGATGGTAAATAATAAGCAATTACTTAGTAAAACATCCACTTTAGGTGAACTTTTCCAGTGACAGTAAAAAGTACAGATGAAGCATGACCTTGATGCAATGATATATATAAATGTATATACGTATTTCCTCTGATACGGTATGTATGTATGTTGTAGGGCTTAATTATATTGAACTTTGAATAATCATAATTCATTTGTACATTTTAATACTAGGAAAACTTTGTAAACACTGAAGTCATTTTATAATTTCATTGATGATATACAAATAATGCTTGGTTATCCTATGGAGTGACAAGTGGCTGATTTAGGGTTTATAAGAGTATAAACCTCACCCATGATCCATGCATGCCTTAGCCTCTTTGCAAGGCTCTGAAGCACAAGCTGAAGTGATCTACCCTTTAAAGGGTTGATACCATGTGCAGCCAGGCAAACAGTAGACACTCAACCAGACAGGGACCCCTTGCATAGTAGAGTTTAACCTGGCCACAGAAGAGAAATGCTCTTTGCCCTTGGCAAAGATAATCTTTTCCTGAGACTAGCCAGAGAGTGACAATGAGATTTAGGATGTGGCTTTTGAGTGGACAGTACTTGATCAAACAGAAGCGCAACCAATCAGCCAGATGAATGCAGTAAAAGTTCCCAGTACCTTGCTCAGGACTGCTTCTCAGGTTGGAAGCACTACCTATGTAGCATCACACATAAATGCAAGAAGAATATGTATCCTGACCTCACAGAGAAAGGACAACAGAAACTCTGCTTGGGTATTTCTCCTGAACCCAGCATATGTTTTCCCATGGCTGAATTTAATCTGTGTGCTTTCCCTGTAACAAACTTTGACTGCAAGTGTAAGTGTGTTTAGTGTTGAGTCCTTCAATGAGAGAGAAACCTTGAGAGTGGTTTGGGACTGCCTCCCTCCCAGCTTGCAGTTAGTATCCGAAGTTCAGAAGTGAAGGAAGTCTGGGGGACTATGCCTCTCACTTTGTAGCTGGCACTAACTCTTCTTTACAATTTTGTGCAAATCATGCAACTATGAGCAGTGAGTTCCTCCTGGATATTACTCTGACTTTAGAGAAGGTGAGAGATAAGTAGGACAATATTCAAAGTCCTGACTTTGGGGAACCATGTACCCAGTGCTAGACAGGGTTCTCTTAAGAGGAAATCAACCTTTATTTGCTGTGACTTTAACAATGTTACTACCTCTCTGATGGGGGGATAGTACTGGGAATTGAACTGAGGGCCTCATGCATGCTAATACTAGGTACTTACTTGTCTACTAAATTACATCGCTGGCCCTTATATATATATTTATTTATTTTGGTACCGGATATTGAACTTGAACTTGGGTCCTTGTGCTTGGGAGGCAGGCAGCAGAACCATTGAGCTAAATCCCCGGCGTTGGCCCTTTTAAATTTTAAGGCAAGGTCTCTCAAAAGTTTTTCAGGCTGGCCTCAAACTTATGATCCTCCTGCCTTAGTCTCCAAACTACCTGAGATTATAGGCATGCACTACCACACTTAGCTTTAATTTCTTCATCTAGAAATGGAATGATACTATCATTTAAAATAGGAATAGTAACAATATAGTTTTGCTTTGAAAATTAGATTAGATATTAAATGTAGTATAAAGCACCTTGTATTTAGGAGACCTTGGTAAATAAGCAGCCTCTTCTGCCATCATCAAAAGTGACTAATGGGGCTGGGGATTTAGCTCAGTGGCACCACACCTGTCTCACAAGCACAAGGTCCTGAGTTCTATCCTCAGTACTGGAAAAAAAAAAAAAAAAAAAAGTGATTAAAAACACAGTACCATATCAGCCTTAAGACACTGTTAATGATCTAAGTCCTATACTCTTATTATTTTGTTCTTACCTATACAGCTACCTCTATTATGAAGACATATTCAAAATGCTACAGATAAAAAATGGCCACAGAAAATTAATATTTAGCAAATAGCCAAGAAATATTTAAAGAAAAGTATGAGTCTAATATGAGAATAATTCTAATTTTTAGCGACATTTAAAAACATAGTTTTGAGTTCTAAATTATTTTCTACAGGGGATACAGTAGTGTTTGTCAAGCATTTACGAAGCCCTGAGATAGATCCCCAGCACCACAACAGATAAGCGAAAGTATTTTCCTAACAATCTATTTTTTGCTGGTTGTTGGGTAAACTAGCACAATTCTCCAGGAAGCAACTGGTGATACACACTATAAACTTTCAAAAGTATGTAACAGATGGGCAGGAGGCCTCGGGCCCCAGCTCAGCCCACCCAACTCCAGAGAGACCTGTGGCCACTGGCCGCTCACTGCAAACAGCCCTCATGGCTGGGAGTTACAGAGTCATGGAAGATGACAGTTCTACTGATTACACTGCTCATGAGGCCTGGAATGAAGCCACCAATGTCTCTACCTGATAGTGATCCTTGTTAGCTTCCGTCTCTTCATGTATGCCAAAAGGAATAAAAGGAGAATTAAGAGGATATTCAGTGTGCCACCTACAAAAGAAATTTTGTCAAAGCCCAACTTCTATTACACAATGAGCAAAATTAGTTTAAGACAACAACTGAAAATGTATTCCATTTCAAGGAAGTATGACTATCAGCAGCCACAAAGCCAAGCTGACTGTGTGCAGCTCTCATTGGAATGAACTCTCAGAAACTGAGCAACAGAAGTAATTGTTAGCTGGCATGGTGACCCACAGGCCTCCAATTCCAGCGCTAGAGAAGCTGAGGCAGGCACTCACCAACTCAAGGTCAGGTTGAGCTATATAGCAAGTTCAAGGTGTAGCCCGAAATATAAGGATAGTAAGGCCCATCTCAAAGAGCAAAAATTAAAAAAATAAAATTTTAAAGAGTAATTGTGAAACAGTACCATAGCAAGTGCCTGCTTCCTTCTACTAAATCATAAATGATATTAAAAAAAAAAGCAAAAGAAAAACAAACAAAAAAAGTATATAACAGATGTCTAAGGTTAACTGGATCTCTTTGAAGGAGCACAATTAAAAACTGTGATGCTCTTTCTTGGTTAGGGGCATGAACCTTAGATATCATGCTTAGATTAACTCTGCTGAGAGCAAAGCTGCCTGGCAAAGAGTGTGTCCATGGTCCTTAGGACTGGGGATGGAGGTGGCCAGCACTGGGAGTGGAAAGTCCAGTGGCTTAGGAAGCAGCTGTAGCCTCTTCATAGGCAGATTTACTTGCTAAAGTCTGAAAGACTAATTTTTTTTCCAGCTTTAATTGAGTTTATTG